CCAGAATGCTGGTTTACCAGCTATCTGGCATCCCTTAACCCAATCAACTCAACACATAAAATTAACTGTCCAAGTGTTAGTTGAGATTGTGGTGAAATTGTAGATCAATTAGAGGACTTTGACATTATTAAATCTTCTAATCGAGAAAGAAACATTTTTTTAAAACTTTGGTTTTATTTAATTTTATTTAGAAATACTTAGTGATTTTCAGTGTAAAAGGCTTATGTACTATCAAATGCTTCATGTTTTTCTAAACTATTGTGATAAAGGTTTTTAAAATTTTACTTTTTCATTTTTTTTTTTTGCTGCTAGTTATATAAAAACTTTGATGTCTGCATATTAACCTTATATCCTATAATTTTTACTTAATTCACTTACTACTTCTGCCTATTAACTTTGTGTCATACACCCTTGATAAAGTTATTAGTCCTCACTCTTAGACCTGGTAATTATTTCATATATTCATTTGTATTTTCTATATAAACAATCACGCCCTCTACAAATCATTTCACTTCTGTCCTCTGATCTTTTTTTTTTTTTTTTGTTAATAATTTTTTATATTGATTATACATAGAATTAACATTTGGGATATATTAAGTTAAAGAAAATGTATAAAATTAACTTCTTTTTACTTTCTTTACCATGGCTACTAAAAATTTCTGTAGGTCTTTTAGGGGGTATTTTGGGGGTTTTGTTGTTTTTTTATTATCAAATCATAAACACATAGATCATGTAGATGTTAATGCATTTATGGGGTACAATATGCTGATTACATACAGAATTAGGAATGCTGACGTCACACTGGTTAATATATACCTCATCTCGTTTACTTAAGTTATTGTGTGTGTCCTGTGATCTTCATGTCTTACTCGTTTATTGCAATGATTAGGAACTGCAGCATGATGCACACTATGAATTATGGTGATAGGGATCCTTGCCCTGTTCCCAATTTTAGCAGATAAGAATTCAGATATTCTACATAAAATATGATAGTAGTTATAGGATTTTTTGGTAAATATTCATTATCAGATTGAGAAAATGCTCTAATATTCCTAGTTTGCTGAGAGTATTTATCATGAATTGATATTGCATTTTGACAAATGCTTTTTCTGCATTTATTAAAATGATCGTAGGTTTTTTACATTTAATCTGTTACCATGGTGGATTAAATTAACTAGTTTTGCTTGTTAAAGCATCCTTGTATTCCTGAGATAAATCATACCAAGTTATGATGTGTTATTCCTTTATGTACTGTGGAAATAGTTAAGTACTTATTTGCTAATATTTTAAGGGTTTGTTTGTGTACTGGTCTGCTATTATTATTATTTAATGTCTTCCTCAGGTTTTGATGTTAGGGTTTTGCTGTTCTCATAAAGTAAGCTGTGACACATTTCTTACTCTTCTATTTTTTGATTTTTTTGGTAACACTGGCATTAATTTTTCTTGAACATCTTCTAGAATTTTAAGGTGAAACTATATAGGCCTGGGGATTTCTTCATTGGAAGATTTTTGATACTGCATTCAACTGAGTGAATATGGAGAGGGCTATTCAGGTTTTCTGCTTCATCTTGTGTTAATTTTGTAAGTTGTATTTTTCAAGAAATTACTTTTTATTTTTTCTAAGTTGTCAAGTGTATTGGCACCAAGTGGTTTATAATAGTTTATTTATTAAAACAAAATCTTTAGATTCCAGAATGATATGACTTCTTTCATTCCAGCTAGGGGTTTATTAATTTCCTAATTTTTTTTCCAAAAATAAACTCTTGGTGTTGGTAAATGATCCTTTTTTTTTTTTGACTAAACAATTACCAGACTTTACTTTTTAGAGCAATTTAGGTACCCAGCAAAACTTAACAGGAAATATAGAAATTTTCTATTTATCCCTCACCTCATACATATAGTCTGCTTTCCTCTGTTTATCAGTATCCCCCACAGAATGGTACATTTATTATGATTGATGGACCTACATTGACACTTCATTATCATCCAAAAGTCTATATAGTTTATATTAATTCATTCCATGGATTTGGACAAACGTATGGTGACATGTGTACTCCATCACGGCATCATGAAATCATAATTTTACTGCCTTAAAAATTCTCTGGGCTCCACCTATTCATTCGACATTAGACATCCTTCCACTGTAACCTCTTGCAACCACTGATTTTTTTTATTATCTTCATACTTTTGCCTTATCCAGAGTGTTAAAAAGTTGAAATTGAACAAAATGTAGCTTATTAAGCCTGATACTTAATATCATGTATTTAAGTTTCCTCCACATTTTTTCATAACTTGATACCTCATTTCTTTTTAGCTCTGTACACTGTTCTATTGTCCACATGTACCACAGTTTTTTAAATCCATTCACCTGCTGATAGATATCTTGGTTTTCCAAGTTTTAGCTATTATAAATAAAGCTACTATCTATGTGCAAACTTTTGTATAGACATAAGTTTCCAGTTCCTTCTGGGAAATAACAAGGAACATATTACTATACCAGATAGTAAGTGTTTAATTTTGCAAGAAACTGCCAAACTGTCTTCCAAAGTGGCTATGCAATTTTATATTCTAATCAGCAGTGAATGAGTGTTCTTCACTTTCCACATCCTCACTAGCATTTGGTATTGTCAATGTTCTGGATTTTGGTCATTCTGATGGGTATACAGTGGTATCTCAGCGTTGTTTTAATTCATACTTCCCTGATGACACACGCTGTTGAACACTTTGTGTATGTTTATTTTCCATCTATGTATGTTTCTTAGTGAGGTATCTATTAAGGTCCCTGGCCTATTTTTGATATTGAGTTGTTTCTTGTTGTTGAGTCTTAAAAGCTTTTTGTATATTGTAGATAACAGTTATTTATCAGATGTGTCTTTTGAAAATATTTGTTCCCAGTCTGTGGTTTGTCTTTTCATTCTCTTGTCAGTGTCTTTGAAGAGTACAGATTTTTAATTTTAATAAAGTATAATTTATAATTTATCTCTTTCTTTCATAAATAACACCTTTGATGTAATATCCAAAGAGTCATTACCAAACCCAAGGTGATCTAGATTTTCCACTGTGCTATCTTCTAGAGGAGTTTTATGTTTCATATTTAGGTCTGATATCCAACTGAGTCATTTTTTGTGAAAGGTGTAAGGTCCATGTCTAGATTGTTTTTGAATGTTTATGTCCAGTTATTCCAGCACAACTTACTGAAAATTTTGTTTTTTATCCATTATTTTGACTCTGCTCCTTTGTCAAAATATCAGTTAAATGTATTAATTTCTGTGCTGTCTTTTTTGTTCCATTAACCTCTTTGTTTTTTTGTTTTTGTTTTTTTTTTTTTTGCAAATACCACACTCTCTTGTTTACTAAAGCTTTACTTACTACTATTTATCAATAGGTATTAGATTTTTGACAAATGCTTTTTTTCTTTTTTTTGCATCTATTGATATGATTATGTGAATTGTCTTCTTTATCCAATTAATGTGATCGATTGAATTAAGTGATTTTAAATATTGAACCAGTCTTATATACTGGAGATAAATACCACTTGGTCATGGTGTTCTGAAAGAGATTGTTGATAACTAGTATAATTTCTTCTTTACATGTTAGGTATAATTGACCAATGAACCCATCTGGGTCTGAGGTGCTTCCTGTTTTGAAGCACTATTAATTATTCATTCAATGTCTTTAATAGATATAGGTCTATTCAGGTGATCTATTTATTCTTGTGTGAGTTTTGGTAGATTGTGTCTTTCAAGCAATTGGTCTCTTTCATACAGGTTATCAAATTTGTGCATATATAGTTTTTCATAATAGTCCTTTATTTTCTTTTCAAGGTACATAGAATCTGTAGTGATAGCCTATTTTATTTCTGATATTGGTAATCTCTGTCTTCTCTCTTTTTCTTAATTAGCCTGAGCCTGGCTAGAACTTATTTATTTTATTTTTTCAAAAAAACAGATTTTGGTTTTGTTGGTTCTTTCTATTAATTTTCTATTTTTAACTTTATTAATTTCTGTTCTAATTTTTAGCATTTCTTTTCTTCTGTCTACTTTGAATTTAATTTGCCCTTCTTTTTCTAGTTTCCTGAGGTAGAAGCTGAGATTACTAATTTCTTATACTTTGTCTTTTCTTCTTCTTCTTCTTCTTTTTTTTTTTTTGCAGTTTTTGGCCAGGGCTGGGTTTGAACCTCCCATCTCCAGCATATGGAGCCAGCACCCTATCCTTTGAGCCACAGGCACCACCCTACTTTGTCCTTTCTAATTTATAAATTCTGTGCTATAAATTTTTTTCTAAGCATCATTTTCACTGCATCCTACAAGCTTTCATAAGTTGTGTTTTCATTTTTATATCATTTAAAATATTTAAAATTTTCTCTCGATATTTCTTCTTTGACTAATGTGTTATTTAGAAATGAATTATTTAATCTCCAAATATTTGGGGACTTTCCAGGTGTTTTTTGTTTGTTTGTTTTTAGTTTTTTCTATTGTGGTAAGAGAGCAGACATTGTATGATTTCTATTGTTTTAAATTTGTTAAAATGTGATTTATGGCCCAGAAGGTGATCTATTTTGTTGAATGTTCCATGTAAGTTTGAGAAGAATGTATAATCTGTTGCTGTGGGATGAAGTAGTCTCCAGATGTCAGGCACATTCAATTGTTAAATTCAATAATGTTTTTACTCATTTTTTACCTGCTGGATCTATCCAGTTCTGATAGAGTATGTTGAAGTCTCTAAAGATGATGGATTCATTTATTTCTCCTTGCAGTTTTATCAATTTTTGCTCTACATATTTTACAGTCTGTTGCTGGAGGCCTGGTGCATACACATTAAGAATTGTTACGACTTCTTAAAGAATTGACCCCCTTATTATTATGCAATGCACCTCTTTATTCCTGATAACTTTACTTGCTCTAAAGCCTGCTCTGCCTTAAATTGATAGAGCTACTCTTGCTTTCTTTTGATTAGTGTTAACATGGTATATTTTGCTCATACCTTTTATTTTCTTTCCATATTAAACAAGTATTGTGTCAATATCACAACAAAATTTAAGAGAGGCACATCCCACACATAAGCACGAAAACCCAAATATTTGTGAACCACAAAAGGATTAAACCTTTTACTCTTAATCTATAGGTGTCTTTATATTATATAAAGTAAGTTTCTACAGGTGGGTCTTATTTCTGATTGACTTTGATGTTCTCTGCCTTTTGATTGCTGTATTTAAACCACTGGTGTTCAAAATGATTCTTGAGATAGAAAAATATCTACCATTTGTTTTTACTGTTTTCTATCTGTTTCTTTTGCTCTTTGTCTCTATTTTTGTCTTCCATTCTTTTTTTTTTATATTTTGTGATGTTAATAAAGCATTTTATATGATTTCAGTTTTCCTCCCTTTATAACATATCAGTTATGATTCTTTTCTTTCCTTTTTAATTTCTACCTTAGAATTTACAATATACATTTATAGCAAATATAAGTACACTTTAACACTATTCCACTTCACAGGTAGGATGCACACTTACAATAACAAAATAGTTCTAATTTCCCCCTCCTATCACCTATATCATTGCTATCATTTCACTTATATATAAGCATTTATAATTATAAGATATATCCAAAGATATATAGTCAAATACATTGTTACTCTTATTATTATGAATAAAGTGTTATTCATTGAATCAATTAGGAAATTAAAAAGTTTTCATTTTACCTTTACTCAGTTATTTTTTGATGTTCTTTTTTTCTTTATGACTATCCAAATTTATAATCTATATACTTTTTCTTCTCTTTAAAGAACTTCTTTTAACATTTCTTTCTAGGCAGGTCTACTAGAAATAAAGTTCTTCTATTCTTCTTTGTCTAAGAAAGTATTTTTTCCTTCCCAGGTTTGAACCCATCACCTCTGGTATATGGGGCCAGCACCTTACTCCTTGAGCTGTAGGTGCCACCCCTGTTTTTCCTTCTTTTTGAAGGATGACTTCATGAGGTACAGATTCTAAGAGAGTGCTTTCTTTCTCTTGATTCTTTAAATATTTCACTGCACTCTTTTCTTGCTTGCATAATTTCTGACGGTAAGTTGGATACAATTCTTATCTTTGCTCCTCTATAGGTAAAGTATTTTCCCCCATCTGGATTCTCTCAGAATGTTTTCTCTATCTCTGATTTTCTGTGGTTTTAATATGATATGCCTAGACATAGGATATTATTTGTTTGTTTATTTGCATTTATCCTGCTAGGTGTAGTCCAATCTTCCTTGATCTGTGGTTTATTGTCTGACATTAATTTGAGAGAAAGTCTATGTCATTATTGTTTCAAATACTTCTTCCATTCTATTCTCTCTTTTATCTTCATCTGGTATTTTCATACATGTATATTACTCCTTTTGTAGTTGTCCCAAAGTTCATGGATATTCTGTTCTGTTTTTTTCTGTCTTTCTTTCTCCTGGATTTTCAGTTCTAGAAGTTTCTTTTAAGATATCCACAAGCTCACAGATTCTTTCCTCAGATATGTCCAGGCTACTAATAAACCTATTAAAGGCATTCTTCATTGCTATTACAGTGTTTTTTGCTCTAGCATTTTTTTCATTATTTCTTAAAAATCTCTCTGTTCATATTATAAGATGACACAAATAAGTGGAAACCTATCTCATGTTAATGGATTGGTAGAATTAATATTGTTAAAATGTTTATATCATCAAAGCAATACACAGATTCAACATAATCCCTATCAAAATACCAATGGCAAGCTTCACAAAAGTAGGGAAAAAATTCTAAAAATAACATGGAACTGTAACAGATCTTGAATAGCCAAAACAATTCTGACAAATAAAAACAAAGTGGGGGGGCATCATACTTCCTTTTCTAAAATTGCATCATAAGGTTTTAGTAATCAAATAATATGATAATGGCACAAAAATGACCATGTGAACCATTGGAAAAAAATAGTCCAGAAATAATTCCAAATATATATATATATAACCATTATTTTATATATATATATATACATATATATATATAAACTATATATATATAGTTAACTAATTTCTGACAAGGTCACTAAGAGGACAAAATAGAGAAAAGTTAGTTTTTTCAATAAATGGTGTTGGAAAAACTGGATTTTCATAAGCAAAAGGATGAAACAGAGTGATTGTTTTGTACCACACACAAAATTAATTGAATATGGATAAAAGACCTAAATGTAAGGCAAAAAAACTATAAAACTACTAGAAGAAAATACAGCAGAAAAGGTGTTGGACATTGGCCTTGGATTTAATGCTTTTATGTGTATCACACCAAAACTCAGGCCATAAAAACAAAAATAAATAGAGCTACATTAAACCAAAATGCTTTTGAACTGCAAAAGAAGCAACCAGAAAAATAAAATAGAAGCCTACAGATTAGGGAAAAATATTTACTATTTGAAAACCTTATATCTGATAAGGGATTAATAGCCAAAATCTATAAAGAACTCATACAACTCATTAATGAAAAAGCAATAATTTAAAAATTGGCAAAAGAAAAAAACCAGAATAGATATTTTTCCAAAGAAAACACAAAAATAGTCAACAGGTATAATAAAAGGTGTTTATCATCATAAATAATCAGGGAAAGGCAAATGAAAACCACTGCAGCATACCACCTCGTACTCCTTAGGATGGCTATCAAAAAGTTCAAAGATAACAAATGTTGGTGAGTTTTGGAGAAAAGGCAACATTTGTATACTGTTGGTGGGAATAGAGATTGATGTAGTCATTATGAAAAACAATATGGAGGTTTCTAAAGAAATTAAAAATAGAGCTACTATAAGACCTAACACTCCCTCTTTTGGGCATATATCTAAAGAACATTAAATCTCTACCTCATAAAGATGTTTGCACTTGTATATTTAACGAAGCATTATTCAGAGTTGCCAAGATATGGAAGCAACCAAAGTGTATGTTGATGAACAAATGGAAAAAGAAACTGGTGCATACATACAACGGACCATTATTCAGCTCTAAAAAAGATACAGTCTTGCTATTTACTACAATATGGATGAGCTTGGAGGACACAATCCTAAGTGAAGTAAGCCAGACACAGAGAGAAAAATAATGCCTAATTTCACTTATAGGTGTAATCCAAAAAAAAAAAAAAAAATTCAAGTATACACAAATAGCAAAATAGTGGTTCCCAGGATTAAGGAAGAAGAGGAAATAGGGAGATATAGGTCACAAATATAATATAGCAGAAGTATAGGATAAAACAGTCTAGAAATCTAATGTTAAACATGAGGACTATCAGTAATAAAGCTATACCATACTTGAGATTTATACTAAATAAGTAGATTTTGGCTGCTTTTGCCACAAACCAAAAACAAAATTGGTAATTATGTAAGATAATGATTATGTTAATTTACACTTCATTATATTAACTTTTTATTTTCTGTATGCATCCCATAACATCATGATGTATTACTTAAATACACGTAATAAAATGTACTTTTAAAAAATTTTCAGTCTAATAATTCCAACTTTCTACCATGTGTGAGTCTGATTCTAATGCTTACTCTATCTCTTCAAACTGTGTTTTAGTTTGTATCATCATTTTTTTTCTTGATAATAAGATAGTATGCACTGGGTAAAAGGAACTGCTCAAATAGAACTTTAGTAATGTGGTGGCAAGTGTGGGATGAGGGGAATAAGGTCTACAGTCCTGCGAGTAGGTATCATTTTCTAGTGAGCCTGTCCCTTTGCACTGTGAATTTCTTAGGTGCTTTTTAATCCCCAGTCCCCATTAGTTGAGACAGGATGGCTAGAGTGACCTGGAGTTGAGTACTTTCCTTCTCTCTTATAGAGGGCCAATTGGGGGAGGGGGGCTGGAATTGGGTATTTTACTTCCTGAATTATTTAGTTCTGATAAAAGCCTAGCAGGTTAAGCTCTGGTTAAATACTTTCTCCAGAAGGCAGACTTTGTTAAGAACAGGATGTTCTGGCATATTTCAAAATCCTTCTTTATCTTTTCCCCCATGGAAGCACGAGGAGATTTTTCTCTGTTTACTCCAAGAAGTAAAATTTACAATAATGTGTCCCACCCCACGACAGGTCTTTATGGAGTATTTCTATCTCAGATATGTCCACGCTGAGCCTCCAGAAATTATTCAACTACAATTCAGGCTTTCTTACCTCAAAACTGGTTCCCGCAGAGGTTTCTGCTTTGGTAAATTGTGATTCTGTGTATCCACCTATCTGTTTTTCTGATTTGAGGGTTCACCAAAGGTCAGTTTGTTCTGTTATTTCACTTATCTTGCATATCTAAGAATTGTTGACTTTTTTCCAGTTTTTTCGGCTTTTTACTTGTTGTTAGGATGGAATGGATCAAGCTCTTAGACATTGAACTGGAAACTGGAAGTCCGACATCTTTGATTTCTGTTCTTATCTTTATCATCACCTTCCTTCTACTGGTGTATCTTTTTCTGACTTTGTTAGGTAGTAGCTTACGTAATTTATAATGGATAGTTCTTGTTTTCTAATATAAGCATTTACAGTGATAAACTGCTCTCTAAGCACTGCTTTAGCTGCATCCCATACATTTTGATATGTTTTATTTTTATTATAATTAAGTCATGTGTTTCATATCATTTGTAGTGTTGAAGTCTCCTACCTTGGTAACAGAATTGTCATTTAGTTTCATATATTTTGAAGGTTTGTTACTAAACGCATATATATATTTATGATTGCTTTGTCTGATTGAAAAATAGACACTTAATTATTATGAAAGGTTCCACTTATATTTGGCCATCTCCTTTGTGTTGAATTTTTTAAAATCTGTTATTGTTGTAGCCATTCAAGCATTCTTATACTTACTATTTCTATTGTATTTCTATTTTCTTATACTTTTTGTTTCTATAGTGGTATCTTTATATTATTAATGTTTGTATCTTATATACAATATATATTTGGACTTTGCCCTTATTTGTAAACCCATGCTGATAATCTCTGACTCTTACATGGAATGTTCAATGCATTTATATTTAAGGTAATAACTCATATGGTTTTAATGAGGTCTATTATTTTATTTTTAATTGTTTTCTTCCTCTGTCTGTCTGTCTGTCTGTCTCTCTCTCTCTCTCT